GGAAGTAGCTTTTTTAAGTTTTTATCCTTTGACTTATCCATTTCATTTATATATTTCTTACCCTGGTGCTGTGTCCACTGCTGTTTCAGTTGTTAGTCCATTCATTTGGTCAATCAGTCACTTTTGCTTTTATGGTTTATATGCTGTGATGAAAGGAAGAGCAGCCGAGCCCAAAGCCATCCCAAAATAAACAAAGGGAGCAAGGGAGGACTTGCATCTGGCTGATGCTATCACATCTCTTTTGTTAGAATCCACAGTTGTGCTTTTGACACAATCAACCATAATGTTCTGCTGGTTAAGTTAATGTCTCTAAATGTGCCCTCCGCTGGATTAAATCATCTGTCTGACAGTAGATAATTCAGTCCATCTTCCTCATTTGTTTTGCTAGAGTTCCTCAGCGATCAATATTTAGACCAATTCTATTCAGCCTTTATGTCAATAATTTACCCAATATCTAAAGTGTCATCAGCATATAAAGTGCATAAAGATGCACTTTATATGCTGATGACACTGTAGTATATATTCATGCAAAAAATAAAATTGAAGCTGCTGTTCTCTCCAGCGTTATGCTATCAGTGTCTGAAAGGCTCTAGGACTCCTGTCTACATCTTAACATTGGAAAACCATGTTTTTCTCCCGACAGCCAGTAGAGGGTGATGAACTATCAATGTTGATCAATAGAGAGATGTTGGATGTGGTTTAACACTTTAAATATCTTGGAGTGGTCTTTGATTCTAATTTAAATTTCTAGCAGCATGTAAAGAGAATCTCAATATAATTGGGTTTAATCTTTCAAACCTTAAACATATAAGACCCTCTTTGACTTTTAAAACTAAAATATGCTTTAAGCTGATATGTTGATAAATGTGGATTGTCCTAATTCAAAGAAATAAAAATAATAAAATTGCATTGTGGTTACAAGAGCATAAGTACCAAAAGTCTTTTTAGTACATGCTGCTTGAGAGGAATATTTTATGTCTGGCAGATTAACAGCTCAGTTCTGAGTTCAAGTCCCGCCCCCATGGACTGCCACTCTGGGACCCTGAGCAAGACCCTTAACCCCACACTGCTACCCGGGTGCAAATAGTGAATTTTGTTGCTCTGTACTTGTGACAATGTAATGACAATAAAGTTAAATTTTATTCTATTCTTCCATTCTAGTTGCTACACCTTGGAAAAACTATAGTTCTTTGCCACCTCTGACTTTTCTAGCACTCGTTTAAGCTCTACTGCATCTTTGGTTTCTTTTTCTTGCAGGTTGAGCGTCTGACAAAAGATTTCTCGGTATACATGACCAAAGACGGCAGAATTTCCATGGCCGGCGTGTCCTCTGGGAATGTAGGCTACCTGGCAGAGGCAATCCATGCGGTCACCAAGTAGAGGGGCTCTTATAGGAAGAACAGAAGATTCAAAGCTGCCGTCTTGAGGAGCCTCTTATGCTTCACTCCTCTGTTTCACCTTCAAAGGAGTTGTTGATATTTAGCTTAACTTTTTCTCTTCTGGATTTCAGCGTTAGTTCACTATTGGGACGGTTGTTGGTAAAAATCTTTTTTTTTTTTGCAATTTCCCTCTGAACTGATGCCCTATGCCATGTTTCAAACTTGTGACTGAGCGGATTGTCTTTTATTTACTCTTTGGAATCTGCTGCTGACTCTGTATCTCTAATTGTTTGCTCTTGACCCTCATGCATTTCATCTTTAGGGTAATGCATGTAAGCTTAAGGTGCAAGTTGAGATTTCTGTTGCTTTGTGGAAATCTTTAGGAATTACAGTTTTTGTTTATCATTGTGGTGTTGTAGCACTTTATCAAATATGTGGCACTATTTTAGTTTGTTTCTGGGTTTTACTGTAAGAATAGGCATTTATCAGTTCCCTTTTAATTTCATCAAGCACTGTTATTTGATCTTTGTATTTAAAATAGCTCAGTTATCTCCTTTGCATTCAGTACTTTTCCTCTAGGTTTGTGTGATTCTTGAGTTTTCATTCACAAAGCAGTAGTTTCTCAATCGCTCCATCTTAAAACTTCTCAGAATATATTAAGCACAAGAGTGAAACTGGAGTAATTGGATGTAAGGTAAGATGGATGTTGTGATATTCAATTTGGTGTTTCATCAAACCATAAAACCAGTCTATTTTAACAAAAGCAGTACTGTGTCCTGTTCGATACAAATGGCATTTGAAATGTGTCCCATTTTGCCTATATTCCTGGGACTTTGTCTCCATGCTCAGCATCTTGTGAAACTAAACATCGTGGGTCATTTACTTACTGAACAAACAATAAATCCCTCAAGAGAAAAGTTTGCTTGTGTTTTTTTTTCTCTGCATGTGCAGTAGGCTAATGCTTTTATCAGTGTTCATGTGACATTCTGCCTTTCTGTGCAGATCTTTTATTTGAAACAATGGTTTATGCTAATTGTTTTTTTAATAGCTTCTTTAGTTCATATTACTAGGTCAAATTAAAATTCTTACAAATGCTAAAATAGGATGTTTCTAAAAGTTCAAAATTTTCTGTTTGGCAAAAACTGGTTTCTTTAAAAGGGTGGTACTAATTGTCATGCTTTCTTTTGTCAGTTTCTAAATTTCAGATATTGAACTATGAATATGTTGGCACATAATATAGGATTGCTTTATTAATACAAAAACTTTCAGTTTGTTTTCTATGAAACCTTACTGGATTGGTGCCATTGCTTAATTTCATCAGCAGTATATAAGATGTTTAAAATTATTTCAATATGTAACTTTTTTGGGCTTTGTTAATATTTCACTCTTTTCGTCCATGTTAATGCTTTGAACAATACAGAAACATCAAACTGTCAAAACCGAATTAAAGCGTTTACTAATAACTCAGAATGCATGAAAATTACACTGGTAGATGGTTTACCACTATAGACATCGTTGGAAAGCTTAGATTCTCCACAATTATACCACCTAGTTTATTTTATGGACATTTTATGCACCAAATCACAATTACCGTAACAGATATAGCAGCATGTCAAAGCAGTAGCAACAAGCAAGCATGTCTTTATAACTGCTGTTCAAAATATACCTATTTTTGAGAATAAAAAATAACTTTGAGTCTTGTTTGAACTGATGCAGCTTGGGTGTTTTACTCTCCCAATTTTCATGTATATTTATTCAGAAACTGTAGGTATTGGCTTTCAAATAATGTATCATACATGTAATTGGGCTTACAGGTCCTAAGTTATTTTCTTTTCCATTTGGGTATGCAAAATAAGCGAGAATATCCCAAAATGAGGCGGATATTAAGAAGTTTAAGTATCGAAATACAGTCATTTCCGGTTCGTTATTAAACAATCATGGAAAACTACAACAACCAGAATTCCAATCGTTAAAAAAAATGGGGAGGAGTGGTCACGTGACTACGTCACATGTCTCCTGTATTCTCCAGCTGCCAAACATTGAAGGTTCAGTCATTCTCTGCGGTGGAGGCCTGCGCGTTTTTATCCCCTTTCCCTTCATAACAACAGATTCTTTACGGTAAATATAAGCAGGTAGGTGTTTAGCTGTTTCCTGCGGTGGGTTAGATAACTTAAATTACTGTTATCATTTGCTAGCTTAGATGTGTTGTAGGGAATAACAAAGGGCACGGCCGCCTCAAAATGTTTTCAATCTATTGATGAGAGACAAGCCTTGATTTAATCAGACTAAACAAATGACAGAGCTGTGCCTTTTGTTTTTAGAAAGCGCCTAGAAAATAACATTTAGGCCAGCTGTTATTAGTGTCGCTAATCAATCAGGACGACGTACCCTTGCTAATAGATAAACATTTTATCTAAAATTCCTTTTTTTTTTTTTTTTACACTAATTTGGCCAATAAAGCTGCTCTATAAACCCTGAAACAATCCCGTTACTGTCTTTAAAGCAGTACTGGTGATGAAAGGATTTCTTGTTGAACAAGTAAACTAAATTCACTTTACACATTTCATTCAGGTTGTTTTAATACTTTAACGTATTTACGACAGAAGTGTCGTAAATAGTTTTAAACTCATAGACCCACGATTATTAGAATTATATTCTCAATTTCTTCAAATTAAAATCAGAATTGAGTGAATCCAGCCTTACTTTGCACACGTTGTATACACTGATTTTTTTTATACAAATATTTTTGAATAGTTAGTAATTGAAAAAGTTCAAGAGAGCAGCTATCAGCAGCTATTTAAAAAAAATAAACTTCAACAGATTTTATGGGATTAACATATACTTTAGTAGAATAATTCCTATACATTGGTGTGTTTTGATGTAAACCTCAGGCTGCATTTTTAACGACTATTGAAGGTGAACCTCCACAGCTATGGCATTTCTTTTGCATGTTTTAATTGGTCATTTTTGTTAGAGGATTACTGCTCTTTTGACCATAAACGGTAAAAGAAGGTCATTTCCACAACATGATGCAGCGTTTACCACGGTTCAGTTACAATGTGGCTTTGCCACCATGGGGGTGTAAGTTGATTCTCCAACACACCTGGATCTTAATGACTGAATTCCCCTTTGCAGCTCATTGAGATTAACAAGCTTTTTATTTGATTCAGGTGTGTTGGAGCAGGGATCAATCTAGAAGTTGCAGGATGGTAGCTTTAAAGGACCGGACGTTTGCTAACCTGCAACCCAGCACTAATTAAGTCAAAACTGCACAACAAATATATAAATCTTAGAAAGTCAATAAAACTAAAACTGAAGTGGCATATTTTCAGCTTCAACTGGTTCAAATTATGCAAAAGATCCCTGCAGTCCTTCAACAAATGGTTGGGTATAAAAATATGAAAGTCATACGTACATTACTTTCCAACTTAAATTATATGAACCTTGATGTTTCTCTATCCGATCGCAGTAAAAGGTTTTAAAATTTGCAGCAGTGTTTGGAAAAGCTTGAGGTCTATGAGTAATGTGCGAGGAGCTGTTTTTTCTAAAATAGTGACAATTTGACAGGACATTTCTTAATAATGTCCCATTTATCAATATTTGATTACAGATTGATCGCTACAAGTAAACAGCAGTGCTTTAGCAGAGCTTCGCTGTTCTCTCTCATCTCACTGGCCCTCTCTCATGGCAATCAACGCTGATGTTGAAGATTGGGCTGGCGTCGGTAGCAGTGACTCAGGAGAACGAGCATGGCTCCTGCAGAGCCCCAGCGTGGATTCTGCCCGGCACCCGGAAGAAGACGAGCGGAGCCCTGGTGTGTCGCCGTATGCCGCCGTGTTCATCGTGGTGAACGCAGCCCTGGGTGCGGGGCTGCTCAACTTCCCTGCAGCCTTCAGCATGGCTGGGGGAGTGACGGCAGGAGTGGTTCTTCAGATGGTGAGTGGATACTGGAGGTGTAAAATTCACTAGTTTCCTCTGTTGGCATATCTCCAACACTGATTTTGCTTTTCCAACAGTTGATGCTCATCTTCATCATCAGTGGGCTTGTGATCCTTGGCTACTGCTCTCAGGTATGTTTGTTTTTATTCAACTTCCTATGTAACATGTTCTTCTACCATAACATTAAGTTATTATTTACACTTATTGTAAGATTTCATTGTGCAACCACAAGCCTCAGTGAGTATTGCATTATGGGCCAACAAGTTTACAATAAAGGTGACGTTTAGAGGACGTAAACAGGGTTTTAACTGGTTAAATCTGAAAATGTGCCATACGTTCTTGCTTTCTATCAGATTCAGTAGTTTACCACCCCTTCCATGTAGAGACTTGACCCCATCCCTGAGTCCTCCCACAATTTCTGCTTTGAATGTGTTGCTTTTTCCGCTTATTGTTACTGTGTATGCTCCGGGTAATGATTAATCGATTACTATTTGACAATTATTTGATTCAGCTTTAGTTTGGACTCCTCTGGCCAAAGCTGCTCCCTCCTCTTCCTCAGAACAGTTCTTCATAGCTCCCTCCACTCTACTTATGCAGTGCAGTTGTAGCGGGTATATTGAGGAGACCCACACAGCAGTAATTGCAAATCCAAGTGCTTAACAGCTACATGAAGAAACGCATTAAAATGGTTTCGGCCTTACAACAGATTCTTGCAGCGGAGCAGTTGGTCTTTGCTGCTCCCCCAAAGTAACCATGGGTTCTTTTTTTAATAGAAATGTTTGCACTAGATTTTCCCATAGGTGGGTCCTGGTAATGGGGTTAATCTCCTGCATGACGTTTTTGTATCTGTATTTTTAAAGTAAAACAGAAAACAACTGGAAAAGGTGCTGTTATAATAAATACTTTGCAAGGCAAAAGCAAAGGTTTCAAATCTTTTCTCCTTGTGGTTAGAAAGATTAGGAAGCAGCATTATTGTGTAACATATGGTGTCCCATGTTTTCTTTCTGTTCCTGATCCCAGTGCAATGATTCTTTCTCAGAATTCAGGCTTTCGGTTCCTTAGCAGCTCAGACTTAAACCCACATTAAAGCATTTTTGGGCTAAAGTGAAATAGATTTTTGATTAATTAAGGACTTTTTACATAGTTACTGTTGTTGAATATTGCCTTTAGGACATAAATGTCCCATAAGACCTGTTTTTTTACGCAATGTACAGCGGAGTTTAATGCTGCTTGAGTCACACATCTCTGTCTTGACATGTTTTCATACCAGTTGTCTGGTTTCTGCAGGTCAGCAATGAAGCCACTTATCAGGAGGTTGTTCGAGCCACTTGTGGGAAAGTCACAGGAATCCTCTGTGAATTAGCAATTGCTATCTACACGTTTGGCACATGCATCGCTTTCTTCATTGTGATTGGAGACCAGCTGGATCGTTGTAAGTATCCACAAAGATCAATAAGGCTTCATAACCGGAGACTCTAACTTATTCATAGTTTTATATTTTTATCAGCATTTCTGTAAACTGCAAAGACAAACACTTTTTAAATGTTTAGATATTTGGTTAAGCGGTAATGTTTGAAAATCAGAGTGTTAATGAGGGCAAAGAGCGTTTAGAATGACTGCTGAGCTTTGTCTTTCTTTAAATGTCTCTCATGTGACAAATTCGGTCACTGAAACGCTGACACAGCAGAAATCCTGATCTGTCAGCCTCTGCTTAAGGCGAAAAATGCTTTTGCAACTTTGTTCATTTTTGATAGATCCATCTCAATCTCAATCTGTACATTGCTACTGTTCTTCAACAGTCCTTAGAAGTTTGGACTATGATTCAGTTTCCTGTGTTTAGATAATTATTGCAAATAAAAAAAATATTTTAAACTATTCTGCAACTGTCAGTACCCAACTGTTTACTCTACAACTCCTTTAGAGTAAAACTCCTACAAAAGTAGGAGTTCTGTTCTTATTTCCTTTCTCTCTTTGATCCATCCTGCCTAGAGTATCTTGATTCATTCTTCTTCCTTTTCATCTGTTGCACCTTTACTCCTCTTTTTCCCTGTCCCTACTGACCACTTTGGGATATCTATCTCTATTTCATTGTATAGGAAAGGAAAAAGGATAGTAATTGAACTTTATTCATCTCATAATGGAGAAATTTACCTCTGCATTTAACCCATCCCCTTGGGGAGCTGTGGGCTGCCACTGTACAGCGCCCGGAGAGCAGTGTGTGGTTAAGGGTCTTGCTCAGAGACCCATAGTGCAGGCTGTGGGGATCGAACCGGGTACTTACAACCTTCTCAGAGCACAACTGCACAGCTCTAACCAAAACAAAGAGCTGAGAATTCAGGGACTTTGATCCATTGGATTCTGTTTCAATTGTTCGCTTACCACCTCTGAAGTGTCTGCTTTTTCTTGCAGTAATTGCTGCAGTGGCTCATGAAACAGAAGGCTCGCCTGACAGCCCCTGGTACACAGACAGGAAGTTTACCATTGTCATCCCTGCCGTTTTGGTTATTCTGCCTCTGTCTATTCCCAAAGAGATCAGTTTCCAGAAGTATGCCAGGTACAGAGGATGTGCACCCTGTGTCGATCTAAATTTGTCACCTTTTAGCTTGTGTGATGGTCATCTTGGCTGTTGTTGTGCTGCAGTGCTCTGAGTGTGATGGGAACTTGGTATGTTACCATTGTGGTCATTGTGAAGTACATCTGGCCAGACAAAGACATGAAACCAGACCCTGGTCCAGCCACGTAAGTCCTGAAAAAGCTTGTTTTTTTTTTAAATGTAGAAGCTGTTTTTCTTTTTTTTTCCTTTTTTTAATATAATTTGCATCTACATAATTTTGCTTTGCTGTTTTTTAAATCATTGTTGTCGTTTACAGTTCTGCTTCCTGGACTGCTGTTTTCAATGCAATGCCCACAATATGCTTTGGCTTCCAGGTATCATTTGTTTGATATTGTCTATGAAATAATGGTGCGTTTTTGATGTGAGGTTAAAGTATTCGCTGTCTGTCCGCAGTGCCATGTAAGCTGTGTGCCGGTGTTTAACAGCATGAGGAGAAAGGCGATCAAACCGTGGGGACTTGTCGTGACACTCAGCATGATAATCTGCCTGTTTGTCTACACAGGAACAGGTCAGTCCATCTTTTACGGCTCCATGTAAGGGGTCTTAAACCTATCTTTGCTTTGACCTTTCAGACCTCAACCTGCTGCCTTACATGTTTGTGCTAGATTCTTAGTTTAATTTAAGGATCCCCATTAGTAGCAGCTACTCCTCCTGGGGTCCCTCCATAAATATTGCAATAAAAATCAGTTTTCTAGTATCTGGTATGTAACTCCTTTGTGTTGCTTTTTTGTGATCAGGTGTCTGTGGCTTCCTGACTTTTGGCTCCAGTGTGGATCAGGATGTGTTGATGTCTTACCCTCCTGATGACATTGCTGTAGCCATCGCCAGGGCTTTCATTGTGATCTGTGTGGTCACTTCCTACCCTATTTTGCACTTCTGTGGCAGGTAAGGTTAAGCACAGGCATTTTAAAGCCAGTGTGATTAATGCTGGGGATTTCCTGATCTGAAATATCTGTTCCATATTGGCCAAAAATACTAGTACTGGATTTTATCAGCTGGCATCTAAAATCTCCAATGTTTTAATGCTGATGGAAACTCTCTGCTTCTGTAACTCATTGGTTCATTTTACATGGGTTACCTGTAATCATCCTTGTTTTCCCTGTAATATTACTTGAAGCATTTTTTAATATTCTGCACTAAAATAAGTCATAAAATCTGGTATGATTTGTGCAAATATATTAAGTTAATATGTTTATCGGTAGTGTAACGGAAATAATTTGCATTGGGATGTCCTAATATATGTATTCAGTTTATAAATAAGTTCTCCTAAATTTTATAAATTGTTTTTTTTATTTGACAAACCAAATCATCAGCCATGCTTTTTTTATGAGCTTATAGTCGTTTCTCCTATAGCAGAATGAAATATTTCCCTATGAGTTTCTTACCTTTTTTATTATTTGGGTTATTGAAGAGATACAGCTTCCAGATCCTTTCCTTGGCTGCTTCTTGCAGAGCTCTGTGAAATGCTCACTCTATAAAGTTATCTTTATTATAAGTTTTTCATTTCTATTATAAAAATTATAAGCCTTTTGTGTGTTTTTTATTTATTTATTTTTTTAACACCTCTCTGTGCAAGTCCATTGTGTGTCTTTGGATAATGGGTATTTATGCTGACACAATGAAACTGTGAGCTGCGGTCACAGGAAGTTTGCAAAAAATCTGCTCGGAAAGGAGGAGTATTTTTTTAAAGGCTGTATAAATCACAAAGGTTTTTTGGGGAAGTTGAGGTTTTCTATTTGACAGAAATCAACGAGAGATTAGGTTTTATCTGGTGTTTGCAGCCATGTTGACTGCATGCAAACATCTGAAATTCTTATTGAGTTTGCATCTAATAGTCTGATTTCTCTGGATCATAAAAATAAAAAGTGTCACAGAGAGGGAGGCATGTCTCTCAATAACAGTACATCATGGTGCTGGAGGCAGAAGTCTAAATCAATATGAACTGCATTTCATTATAAAAGATTAAAGTTCTAAAAGAAAAAAAAATTTTAAATGTTGTTTTGGAACATGGTTTAATATTTTAGGATCATTACCTGCAAGATAAAAGCTGAATTTCTCTGAATGCAAAATGTCAAATATTGGCTCACCCTGTATGCTAATTATTAGAAAATGTCTCTGCTGATCTGTGTTTTGGTGAATGTCCTTATTTCCGTTCCTGCAGGGCTGTTATAGAGGGACTCTGGCTGCGTTTCCGAGGCGAGCAGGTGGAGGTGTGCGTCCGCCGTGAGCGAAGGAGGAGGATCCTGCAGACGCTGGTGTGGTTCATCATCACCCTCATCCTCGCCCTCTTCATCCCAGATATCGGGCGTGTCATCTCACTAATAGGAGGACTGGCAGCCTGTTTTATCTTTGTGTTCCCAGGTAACGCTGAGCATCCGACGCTTACATGAAGACTGACGTTTTAATGTGGCTCATAATGCTTCTTTGTCTTCACAGGTTTGTGTTTGATGCAAGCCAAACTTTCAGAGACGGAGAGTCGAACTGCGAGGTGAGGCTGCTCACTTTTCAGACAATTGTTTTATTGAAATGGTCAAGGGATTCATTGGTATAGAGATGGACTCTGAGGACGGATCAGTCATAATCAATACAGAGATGTTGACTGACTTGATGACCTGTTGTTCAGAGTGATTTATTCAAGGTTATTGAAAATGGAAAGAGAAAGGTGCATTGGAGTATCGACTCCAATGCATATGGGGACATGGGGTTTAGCTCCTTAAATTCCGTCTAACCTTGGCTAAGTGCAACAGTTTGGGCCTTTGGCTTAGGTCTCTTTAAAAACCCTTTTTGTCAAATTAAAGTCAATTTTGTTAGAAAATCCAATTCCGAGTCTCAAGGAAGAGAAAGTGACAGAACTGGTGTTACTTTAAGGTACACTGCTGACTTTGTGACCTAAAGAGTTGACGCATATGATTTAATTTAAACGATTCCCAGGCCAATATACAGCGCTTGACACTATCAATGCTACGAGCCGAGCTCCCCTCTTGAAATACCGGCTATGTAAAAGTTTGGAGAAGACGCACGGCCCGTCCGATGCCGTGTCTCTCCACTGGAGCTTCGCCGCTGATCCTCCTCGCACTGGCCTTTCCCGGCAGTGCTCTCCAAAGAGCAACAGCATTTTTCATGTCCTGAGAGCTGAACCTAGATGCCTAGCGCTGTGCCCAAAAGACACGGTTGGCTTGATGTGAAAGTTACAGGTCTAGTGACCAAAAGTTACCCGGTGTGCCTTTAAGGCCAACAACCAATGTACCACATCATTGTGATTGCCTGACCAGCTATATCTTCTGACTCAAACTCCATCTAGACTCTCTATTTTCTTAAGAAAAAATGATAGACTCGAGGCTCAACTAGCCTCAGGCTGCTGAAAAGCAACCTGGTCTCTTTTAAAACCTCAGCAGTAAGACAGGCTGACCTCCAAGCAAAGTCTGATTTTCTGAATATGTTGACTAGATGCTGAATTGTCTATATGCATTTCTGTTTTTAAAATCTCTTTATTCTCCCAGTCTATATTAATCTAAAAATCCTGGTAAATAATAGTATGAAAATAATAGTGTAGTCATTGGACATCAAATAATGACGAACCTCATCAGATAGACACCCGCCTGGTTCTTATTCCTCAGTGATGTCAGTAAACTAATATTTCACACAGACAGGAAATGTTTTCCAGGGATCCTCTTAATCCTTTGCAGCTAACCTCAGTATAAGCACAGAGCAGTAACAATGCTGTATTATTCCAAAAATCTAACTTAGATTCATGTTCAAGTTTATGTCCTGTTTAATAGTCATTTATTATAAGAATGTTATCTAAAGAGAGATCACTCCAGGAAAAAGAACTGGGATTAAACCCTGAATGTAAGCACTTCATTACAATGGATAAACTGGTGTAGATGCTCAACACATGAATATATTTAAGCATTTCAGTTGCTGTGAGCAGTTCTCACCTAAATTTACTCGAAGTTACTACTTTATGTTTAAAGCCTCTTTCTAAAGGTTTTCATCTTTTTAATATATGTTATTAAATGTTTTAATGATTAATATGCACCTACATGTTTGGGTTTGTTATTCTAGCCACAGCTAAAGGCTGGGTTGTTGTTGTTCTAGAGAAACTATTTGGCCCTCATAGTCATTTATAGGCAGAACATATATCTTAGAACTTGGAAAAAAAAAAAGCAAGTTATTTTGTTACAGAATTATCTTTGACTTCAATATCTTTGATTTATATTTAAAAGATAATTAACACTTTGTTAAGGCATATTAAATAAGTTTAGATTTAACATTAAGCCATTTTGTATCTAAATGTCATCTGTTTGGTTTTTACAGCTGGCATGGATTGGTCATCCTCGGCATTACCATGGTTACGCTTGGAGCTTTTATCTTCGGCCTCACCACTTCCAACTCCATCTATCAGGACGTTGTAAACTGAAGGGGACACAGTTTTCCTCAATAACAAGGAGAACTCAGAACGGTGCTGCTAATCTGGAACGCTGCTCCATTCACTAAGAACTGGGCGTTTGGTCAGCTGACCATAATGCCAATTGAGCTTTTATTTTTCTCAGTTTTAAAGACTTTTTTTATTTTTGACATCTTCCTTCTTCCTAGAGGAAAACAGACTTTACTCTGTGTATGGACATTGCACCAATAATTATATCCTGTACAGTTTACAAGACCAGAAAGACTCTGATAGGAGGGTTTTATGATCAAATGAATTTTATTTATGGAATTGTACCGATTTATGGGTTTTATCCAGCATGTCGTAACAAAAATATTACAATGTTTCCTTGCTCTGGTCTATAATCAAATCCAGGTAAATCATGTGAAAGATAAAGCAATATGTGCAGAGGTTAAACCTGAATCAGCCAAAGTTGAACTGTGGAGGCAAGACTAAGATGTTTTAAATGTGCAAAATCATTTATGTAGACTTTCTGTTTTGTTTTGGGGTTGTTTTTTTTACTTTGGGTTACACTTGCACAATTAAGGAAAAACACTTGAATTTAAAGTTGTCCGTGTTCTCAGGAAGGCTTTAAAGGTTCTGTTTAAAGTTAGTTTTCACATTGTTCTGTGGTTTAAAACTATTTAATCAAGTGAACAAGTATTTCACAGGTTAATGCACAACTAGTTAACATGCAGAGGGCATTTAATACTTATCTTTGGGGGTGAGTTGGACACCCCTGCCTTTTAATTTCAGAGGTAAATCAGTGTTAAATCAACCTTTATAGAATGTAACAAGAAATTATGTTTACTGTGGAAAAACAAGGGAAGAAATCCTCATTTGTTGGACATTAAATGGTGCACAGCACTGATGTCTTTGGCTTTAATATCAGCTTTTCTGTTGTATTAAGCTGTAAAAGGGAGCTGTATGTATAAGGATATATCCCTGTTAAGACTATTGTCATCAACTTGGAAGGAATTTTACTTTTGCCTTTATTTTTTTAAATGTTAAAGGGGGAATGCTTTGAAGGGAGCTTTTTTTAATTTTTGTAGAAAGTGTATTTGTTGCAATCAAATGAGTATTGGGCTGTATTTATTCAAATCTTTTTCCAGTGTAGCTGTATAGTTTTTTTGTATAGTTTGGTGCCTAACTATTTGGGACGTTTGTAAATATATATTGCCCAAAGCATGTTAGGTGCTTTATCTGATTTCTGACTGGAAAAATCAACACTAATCAAGAACTATTGTAGAAGTTGCCAGACCTCTTTTTGTTTAGAATTACTGGCAAATGTTTTAATGCAATGAACCTAATGGCATGTCAAAACTGACAAAGACAAAATAAAAATTAAGTTCATTGTTTGCCACCAATCATAGTGTGACTGGCTGTTTTGTAAAGGCGGTAAAAACACCTGACTTTTAATTGGTTAGAAGCAAAACGAGAGCAAATGAGTCAGTTTAGTAGTTTTAATAAAATGGTTTGGAACATTAGTTTGAGTTTTAATGTCAGCTTTTTGTTTTTTTTGAAACCACAGCAATTATGCATCGCAATATATACAGTAGCATTAGTTAAGCCAAGATTGTGAAAAGTACTAGTGTTCATTCCACATTTCATGCAAATATATTGGTGAATTTAAGTGCTTAAGACTGATATTTGGTTCAGATAAAGTTGTATTTCTGATATATAGCCTTTTAATTTCATGTTTTGCAGCTTAAAAGAAAAACTTTAGGTTTCTGAACAAGTAGCCCTGAAAACTCAGACCACCAGGGTTCACACCATATGATATTTGTCATTAATTGGCTTTTCCTTCTAATAAACTTTTCATATTTTGACAAAGCACTCTAGAAACCAAGCTTGACCTTTTGTGGCTTCCCTTGTTTGTATAACTGACTGGATAACTGCTGAGTCAGTGTTCCCTGTTATCTTACAGACCATAACATTCCCATATTAACTGTTGACCTCATCTATTTTTTTGATAAACTAAACTTTAGGAGTTTATTCATTTAAAACCATAATTACCTCATAGAAACACTAATGGATCTATAACCCTGAAATCCCACATCCTCCAGACTCAAAGCAAAGCCTACAGGCTCCGCCGTTCCTCCCGTATTGCTCCGCTCAGACTTCTTCAGGGCTGGAGGAGAGCATGCGCCATTTCATTAAATTCATAGGAGCAAAACATGTAATGAACGCTCAAGTTAATATGACATTATGCATTCAGCATATGTGCAGTTTCTACCCAAATCATTTTTGTTGTTAATTTTTGTAACAGGGATTACTAGGATCCTCCATGGTTTGTATGAACTATGTTCTCCGCTTCCAAACCCAGCATCTCTTCATCCATGCCTGCGATTCAATTCAATTCAGTTTATTTCTATAGCACTAATTCACATCACAAGTAATCTCAAGGCACTTTACAGTTCAACCAGATCATACAGTCAAATTGATTCAAAGTTCAACTCATTGACTCAGATGCAATCCCTCACACTATGCATGCTTGTAGTGACAGTGGAGAGGAAAAACTCCCTTTTAACAGAAAGCAACCACCACCAGAACCAGGCTAAGTGTGAGCGGCCATCTGCTAAGGCTGACTGGGGTTCAAGGAGACAGAAGCAGAGATACAAAAAGCAGCTGTAAAAGGCGGCCCCCATCTAGGATAAGAGGTTTTGAAGTTGTGAGATGCGCTCTTGAAAGTTGTTGTGACTGGATTTGATGAAACTTTTAAGCCTCTCGGTATAAAATAAATATTTTGAAGGAGATGAGAAATCTGTTTCCTGGTATGCTGAAGTACCAGTAGTTTAGATCCAATCATTTACTTAAACGGCCTTAGTTTTTGGGAATATATAAAATGATGCTATAGTTTGTAGTTATCAATCCATCGTTACTATATATTGATTACTATATTTTAATTTGACAAACCGGATCTTCCCAACGTTCTTTTTCCTGTTTGGTGTGATTGAAATTGAGGATCTTGACCTGGCCGCACTGGAGCAAAAAATAGCTCTGCTCCCTATTTTGACGATGAAGGACAGAGAAGACGTAAGTGGACGGAGTCGTGCGGAGAAGAGGTGGATGTGGAACAGCTCTCATTGATTAACATGGACAAGTACTCCACATTGCGTACGTGAGCAGAGCAGAGTAATGACGGAGTATTTGGAATCTGGTGGTAAGAGTGATGCAGCAGTTTCAGACTTCAAGACTGAGCTTCCGTGCCAGCACAGTGAGGTAGGGCTGAAAGGTTTGTCATTTATTTTAACACAACTTTAAAGAATATATATTAAGAGAACCCTCCTGCAAAAAAATTTAACAAAAAATGATTTTTACCATATTTGTCTGCAATTTTAATCAACATAATTGTCTGTATTCTGCAATGTTACACCAACAATGTTACACCACTCAATTTATGCAATAGTACAGAGGAAAAAATATTTCCCATTGAAGTGACTGGAGACACTATCTTAGACTAACATACTGTTAAATTTGTGCAAATGAATTGTAAACACTTCCCCTTTTCTTTTGTACACTTATTCTTACAGCTTGAAGTTGCTAATAAAGTTTCAATATTGCCTCTCCCTCATACCTTGTGGAAACAAAATCAATGTGAATCTAGGATTCATTATCCAGCATTTTTTTTTTCACCCCTGAGATAAGATTAGTAATTTGATTACATTTTTAAATACATGTCCCCTGTGTAGTTTAATGACAGTCATTTATTATGACAGGTAAAGATGATCCAACAAACTGAATAGTTTCATCATCTTAGAACCTGCCACAGCAAATTAAAAACACTGCGTGTTCAGATTAGAGTAGTAAACAACTAGAAGTATGTCCGTTTGCTTCAGTCTTCTGCACAATGAATGATTCTTCCCTGAGAGAAAAAAAAATATGTACATCTTGAATTGTGGTTGTAGAGCATGGAGGACTCAGTAGGGACCGTTTGTTATGAAGGACTCAAACATGTGGAAAGCAGGACCTGGCGCCCACTGAGGAACCATGTGGCCTGCACCCTAAAACACATGGACAAGATTTTATTCATACAGTAAATGGAACACATCTGTCAACATAAACAATGCATACCTTAACCGTCAGGAAAGTGATGTTTCCAAACTGCTGATAGAAACCGGCAATCTGGTTGTCGTGAATCCACTTCTGGTAGCTGCTGGTTGCCTGGAAAGATTTTTGGTACCATGAAGCAGCAAATCTTAACTTTATTGACAACATCTGCGACAGACCATGGTCTGGCCAGTCTAAATTTCTAGGTCAATTTCATTGTGAGAGGACATGGCTAGAGAGGCTTTTGTTCTCAAAAAGATTTTTTTTTTTTTTTTTTGAGAAAAACAAAAATTATTATTTGTGTGTGCATTTCTTTATGGGTTTTAAAACCAAAATATAACCTGCCCTATGATCATCAAGAACAAGATTATTTAATGTGGCTACTAACTACAGAGCTAAGCAGAACAAATTACCGTTAGAGAACGATTGAATCTGCTATGAATCAAAGACATTTTCTAAGCCAAAACAAGTTTTTGGGCTACTTTATAAAGCTTTGAACACCAATTTTGACATTGTGAATGCAAAAAGCTTCCTGGATTGGAAGCGAAATGCTTCAAACTTGGAAAACCAAGTCTAGTGGATTGTTTAACTTTTTTTCTGGAATGACTATGACCTGGATGACTGAGAATCTTCACTGGTATAAGTTAAAGACATGACACCAAGTCTGGTGGGACAGAATTTTCATTCTTTATAAAACACACCCAATACAAACCCAGAAACATAATTAAACTCGAAATAGATGAGATTTAAATGAAAGCAGGTCATACACAAGCTCCCACACTGCAGTGGATGGATCAAAATTAATTTAGCCTTTTTTTGTAAATATTCCCCAACAGTTGCACTAACTCAACTTTACCACTAGGATGTGCTAAAGCATTACAGGAAAAAAAAAAAGAAAACTGAGACAAATTAATTTACTTTGGTTTCTTTCAGACAATGTGCTTCCATTCAATAATGTTTAAAGAAATAAAATGAAAACTAACAAATTTAAAGAAGTGTATTAAAACATACCTTAAAGCCAAGATCCTCCACAAACCACTGGTCTCCTAGGAAGTTACAGGCCATGTCTGTGTCTCCATTATAGACCAGCACACGCAGGTCCAGAGAGAGCAACTTTAGATAAACATCCTTCATGCTCTCGTACAAGATTGAGTAATGCTCTCCAACTTCATCACTAAAAAAAAAAAATAATAATAATATAAGAACATTTCATCAACATACAAACCCACTCAAATCAACCCACACAGTCTAAATAACCCCCCCTACATCTATCCAGAAAATATATATAAAGGTCAGTATTTAAAACAAATATAAATAGGACAGTTTTATATTTGAGATATATGAGATGCATGGCAAACCTTCACCATGTGCCTTGGATAACTACCTGCAGAGAGCCCAAGCTGGCAGAGTGTCTGGGATGTGCAGAGCTTTCCTCACGTCGCCCCTGTTCAGCCAGTTTGTCTGAGCAGTGCTGTTAATGCAGGGGGGGACCCCCATTAAAGAAATGGAGGACGTCCTAGAATCTAAAAGCTGCATTGGACACACTGATCAGTAAAGCTTCATGACATTTAAAGTTGGAATGGAAATAATGTCTAAATGCAGAGCACCTTGTAGCTGCGTGGGTTTATCTTGTAGTTCCTAAACAGATGACTCATGGCCCTTTGATATCCTTTGTGGTACGCTCTCTGCCCCTCGCAGTCCAGGTAGAGGGCATACTCATTGAGTCCACTTTCATACACAATACCAAAAGCTACATTTACCTAAAGGAAGAAAAAAAAAATGTTTTCTCCTCTTTTTACAAAAGGATCTTTAGTTTCTGAAAAACTGTTCCTGCAGGAAGGTGCACACATACCATTGTCTTGCAGGTCTCAGAAGTACTGTTATAAAAGTTACATTTCTCCTTATCACAGCAGTTCGTATTCAGATCACGCCACAATCTGCACATAAAAATATTGTCAGCAGTCTGGAACAGGATGGCTGTCATGTGACAAAACACATGTGGCAGGAGCAGAGGAACACCTGCTTCACCGGACATTTAACACCTCATATTTAAAGATCGTATTTTGGGACATTGGGTTTTTTCCAGCTGATTTTTTTTTTTTTTTTTATTAGTACATTATAAATAATTACTTTAACACCTTATGCAACTGGAAAATATCTAGACTGAGCTAATAAGATGCCAGTGTTGTTAGCAGCTAAATAAGGCTTAGTTATATCCAGCTTCATTTTAGGACGATGTAAAGTTAAGCAGATTTGGTCATCAGCCTGATATGTCTTTTTTTTTCTCCTTCTAAAATCTGATCTGTAAATAGGCCTTTCCTCCTTAACACGTACACATCTACTCTGAACCCACTTAAGTGTTTTTTCTCAAGATATACATGCATTTTATCCAACAGCACAGTAAAGTGTTTGGTCTGAGCTGCACATATTTAAACTAACTAAAAGGGGAGATGACCTAAAAAGACAAGTACTGCAAAACCAAATCTAATTTAAAACATTTGATACCAACGCTCATTACCATTCATTTTAGGCCATGCAAATCATGCATTTCTAATTTACGACCATGCTGGATAAATAGCTTTTTTAAATTTAAGAGCGTCTTGTGAAACAGAGTTTTAGGCATGGACGGATTTCTTCAGAACATGTGAGGAAGCTGCTTACACTTCTCCAAACAGGCCATGGTAGTAACCGAAGTAGATCAAAGAGTTATCATTGAGAGCAAAGCTGCTGAGACCATTGCCCACTGCAAAGCCCTGAAAGACAGAGTTAAACAATAAAATAATATGCCTTCTATTTTGATAATTCTGGCATTAAGCTTAACAAAAGATCAGTTTAAAAACATTATATCAAATACAACTAATAAGAAATGACTAAAGCCCAAATAAAATTGAACACTATTCAGTGTTTAAGTACCGTTTAGATTGTAAATCCATCAAATATAGGTGGAGATTCATGACTCCAGCAAATCATTGAATATCTAAGCCTTTCTGCAAAGGCAATTACCCAAAGATACAAAGACAACACGCTGCATTTAAGTACAGTTTTACCATTTATGTAATAAATATCTTTTCAATATTTCATGGGTTTTCAGGCCAAATATGAGCATCATCACATTTCTCAGAAAAATGAATGAACTCTTAGTTCTTTCCTCCACTTTTATGGATAAACTGATTAAAGCTTACAGGAAGACTAATGATTCTGGTGCTCCTTTGCTTTAGTAGAAAATCCCCCTGAACACTCCCTGCTTATCCAACTCAAATGACCAACCTCCATCCATAGGATGCAGTCAAGATCTGCTATAGTTGGACTCGTTTTTCCAGTGCTTAGTTCCGTTTCTTTCCTAGACATGACTGTGCTCCTTTTTGACAAGAAAACTAGCTCAGAGCTCATCTGATTAACAGTTTCTTTCCTAGACAGAATCACCTATTGGAGCCATTTCATCTTTTCTAATATAGAAAGTATGTAAAGTTCAGTGCTTATATGTTCCTTTAGTGGATCTGCTTCTGTCTTCTGAAACCCCCAGTCCTCAGGTCTGCAGAAGGTCGCTTAACACTAAGCCAGGTTAAACAGGAGGTTTCTTTCTGTTCAAAGGGAGTTTTTCCCCCCCTCTACTGTAGCTGCATGTATGCATGATAACTGCAGAGTCAAGAACAATGTAAGTGAATCTGTTGCTACCACATCCAGAAGAAATATTGCAAAGTCAATGACTGATTCAGTAAGCTGGGTTTCAATAGATGGAACAACTTTTAAACAACCCTCTGGGTTATTGTTTCAATTGTCTGTTTTCTGCCTTGAGATGACATGTTATGAATGACACTATATACACATGACTACAAACTAAATCAATGAGCTTATACTGGAGTCAGGAAACTTACAGCAGAGATGAAGCCGAATACCCCCACAAGGACCAGGGTTCAAAAACACTGCCATAGAGAATCAATTTACTCATGAACATAAGCCAAAGGCTGCCGTTAAAACAGTTTGCTAAACACCATAGAGGCCACTGATGCAGCGATTTATGCAAAAAGGATCTCCCATGAGGTACTGAGGGTATACACTACATTATGACCCTTTCCTATAGTAAATATTTTCTTTATGTCATTTTCAAATTTGATGAGGCTGAAATAAAAGTTACAGCTGCATGAATTTAGATGTAAATGAAAATAATTGTACAACATGTAAAAATGTTTCCATCTGCAACACAAACCTTGAAGTTGATTTTAGCCTTTCCTTTGGCCACACGCAGGCTCAGCATGGGAGCATAAAAGCCTCCGTAACTCTCCCCAAAGATGAAGAACTCGTTCTGGGTGAAGTTTGGGAACTTGGCAAAGAAACTCTGAAGGGCTTTGTAATTATCATCAGCGACCTAAGACAAGAACATTTAACACACTTCTGATTCAAAACCGTCCCAAAGTGTCTGTAAGCTCTATGTTCTAAACCAGAGAAAACCCAAACCTGATCATCGTCTGTGCCATATTGCTGGGAATCAGAGTAGGAGTATCCAACTCCTGCAGGGGATTCCAGGTACAGCACATTGGCAATCCTGTTCCAGCTGTATTTGTTCTCGTAAAGAGTGGCTCCATCATCATTAACCTGCAAATCAAATGCCAACGACTTATAGTCTGCCTGAATAACCTGTCCACATGCGGTAAGATTTGAAGCTAGAATGCTCACATGAAATGGTCCGTTTTCTGACAAAAATCCATCCAGAGAGCTGCAGCCAGGACCTCCGTTCAACCAGAGAACTAGGGGGTCTTCGGCCGGATTCCTCTGAGAAGTAACAAACCTGCAGGAAAGACAAGCTCGTAAAGCCAGGATTTATGAGCACATAGCACTAAATAGACCCTCTTAAGTTTTTACTCACAACTTTGAACAAAATGCAGGTAAAATAAGCATCTCTAATGAATTATAAAAGTTCCACTTAAAGTTTTTTCCTTACTTCTCAGTAAAGCTTGGATATTTCTTCTATATTACAACCCAAAGAGAGGAAAATCCTGAGTCTAAAGTAAAAAAAAAAAGCCTTTGTATAGTAGGTGTAAAAAGCATTAATCTTATTTTTTGAGGGTCAGAAGTTTCCCACCTGCTGATGTAAGGATTTAGTAGGAGTTTGTGAAAGTTTCTGTTCCTGGCCTGAATGCCATAAAACTATCAACATTAACAATGGGCAGTGTTGACCTTGTGGTTTAGAGCAGAGCAGAGGGCTTTTGCTCTGAGAAAGTTGCAAATTTGGATCCCTCAGCCTCCACTCTGGGTTCCCGAGCAAATCCCTCAATCCCACACTGCTCCCAGGCCCACACAATGGCAGCCCACTGCTCCCCAAGCTGATGGGTCAAATGCAGAGTGAATTTACCCGTTGTGGGACAATATAGGTTTTGCATTATTTTTTTTTATTCAAATAAATGCTCCTATTAATCCAAAAAAAAGTCACTGATGGCTGAATCATTTCCAAGTTGATCAGGAAAAATTAAAAACCCATCAGAACATCTCAGGTGGGCAGGGTTAAAGCAGGACAGATATTCAGAGTCAGATCAATACATTAGGAAACAAAGCTGTTGTAAAAGAAATCCCTCCAATCTAACACAAAGACGTTCTTATTCTAAAAAAAAAAAAAACCCAAAAAACTATACTCCTTTGTTCTTAACCTGCAACCTGAGCTAAATATGCAATAATTCTTGCATAAAGCACAGGGCCATTTTGCTCCTTTTACACCCTGCCATCAAGCATTTCTTAAACAACTTAAGGGGAAACATGTTGCACACAACAATGATGTAAGTAACATGCCTTGGATCTTTTATCATTGCCTCAGTTTTTACAGCTGATCACTCCACAGGTTAGCTCCAACTGCATGTCTGCTGTGTGTGATTAACGCAAACACATGGGTCCTTAAACAGGCATCTTCTATCGTCGATGTATTCTGCTGCCTACTTCCTAATGTTTAGACCCCCCCCCCTCTAAAAGGTAGAAGTCCCTTTCTAAGCTGATGTTCTTGGTCAGATGCTACTCAGTAAACCAATGAATGGAAGGCTGTTGATGCTCCAGATTGGACTTCAAACTGCAGCTGCCTTTGATTAGTCTGCAAACAAATCCAGGTGAGAAGCTGCTCTAAACAAATATCTTATCACATATTGACCATCTATGATCATCATGGCGATCTGATTGAAGTTTTTATATTTTTTGTCCTTCGATTCTGAGGTTTTGATCATTTGCCGGGAATGTTTGAGGTTTTTTTTTTTTTTTTTTTTTGCCCTTTTTTTTTTTTTTTTTTTTGAGGAACCCCCTTTCAATTTGAGTTGCCCTTTTTTTTTTTTTTTTTTACTTATAGACAAATGTATGATCAAAGCTGTTCAATGCAAAATATGTTTTCTTCTTGGTTACAGAACATATTTCCAACTCTAAATATTTCACTTATCTCATTCACTACCAGCTTTGGCTTATTTTGACCAAGTGAAGCTTTACTTCACTTCCTTTCTAATTGTCCTCGCTATTTAAAGCCTAAACACAGCAGACACTCCTCCAGCTAAACCAGAAAGTTTGGTTGCGCGTCAAACTGTCACGTGATTTATTTTAGAAAAAAACAAAGCGTCTAAAGTCAGATAACTTTTTCCTGCAATAAAATCTGGAGGGAAACAAAACAAAACATACAACAAAGATTAAGATAAAAACTTTTTTTTTTTTTTTTTGCAGCTTTATTGATGCGCACGCGCTCCCAATAGATAAAACATTTCCCCTCACCAGCAGTGAGCCTTTCTTACCAGTAATGGAGAAACTTCCCAGTTCCTGCCTTCAGGTATCCAGACCACTGGCTATAGTTGGGTTTGAACGTCATGCCCGGAAGATGAGTGACCTCATCGGGAGCATACTGAGCCCAGGAGCCGAGCTGAAGAGCGGAGAGCAGACACAGCAGAAAACCGCGGACACACATCGTCAAACCTCAGTGGTGACTGCTGGCGATGGGCTCCAGTCACAGTCTCTACCTTTTTAAAGCAGAAGTGGCTCACTGAGAAGCGCATAACAGTCACGTGACCGCTGCGAGCCTGGCCTCTACGTCACATTTCTTCTTCCTGTTTTCCTGTTTGGACATTTTTGATAAGAAGATATACATGGGATTTGGACCCGATGTGTATTTTTTTGTAGGAAAAAACAATGAAGAAAAGCTCGTTCATATTTTTTGGGATTGTAATTATATTTTGGAGAGATATGTCATCAAAGAAATTTCAATATTACTTTAACAGATAATGATGTTTTGTTTGGGATGGAGAAATGTGAACTTTTCAAAACAGAATTTTTATGTTATTTTTTTATTTATTATTTATCATATTCACACCTCCAAACATTTACAACAAAAACCCAAATTTCAGATTTGATCTTCCATTAATATATATAGATATTGAAACTATTAAAATCATAACTGCTCTTTGGAGATTTGGTTTGGATCTGGGGGGGGGGGTCATCCCATGTGGATTACTTTCTTGTGATTGGCTTATTCTAGGGAGCTTTGTGATTGGTGGCAAACCATTCCCTGTTTAAAGAAATGCATTTGTGTGTGGAGGCACGTCAGGAGAGTCTCAAAAATCCACACACAAATGCAGTACAGTTTAAAGACCACTGCTGTTTGGTCATGTAATTTATAACTGTTTATGGACCAGAAATACTTTGGTGAATCTTGATCTGTGTATCTTGTGTGCTTGCATGAATCATGCTGTGAGTGTGTGGCTCTTGTAATGTGCATGTATGAATCACATATGTTTATTTTTTAAAATTGAGACCGATCTAACTCCACAGTATATTATTTGTTTGCAAATAATAAAAAAAAACATTTTCTTTTTCAATTTACAGTTTTCTTCAGACAGGGAAATACATTTTATATTTAGACTTAGTTTACAATTGATTCTGAAACACATAGATCTAAAACAGGCAGACACAAACACACACCCCTACCCACTGCAGTCATCCACTGACTCATTTATGACAGATATTTATTCATTAAGCACATCTAAAAAGTTGTATTGTGTTGTAGTGAAATGTGTGCTACTGAGTAAAGCAAGGAAGGGACATGGAGGGAGAGCCAGTGCCATATCTTAACTATGACACTATTTAGTTATTGATGCTTCTCCTTTAATATGATCAGTCTGAACCAGATGAGGAACTTGGAGAACCTGTGGGAACTACTGGACAGCAGGGTTAATTCCAATCATTTAAAAACTATTTTAGGGATAATTTATTAATGTATTTAATTAGTTGTAGGTGGAGCCCACTCCAATATTGGGCTACACAGGCCGAAAAGTGTGCTAATATATAGAAACTAAAAAAAAAAAAAAATAACATATATTGGATGACAAATTCATAACCGTATCAAATGAATCGAGCATGCTGTGGATTTTGGCCAAAGGTGTCAAATTTAGCCTAGTAAACTACCCCACCCACCAGCGGCCAAAATCATACTTACCTGCGACTGCGAGTGGTCTGGCCTCGATCAATGCCCCAGGCCCTAGAACTGGCGGGCCAATCACAACGCAGGGATGTGTTTTGAATTTCTGGATGCAAAGCGGGCAGGGTTTTGAGGGCTTGACGACAAAACTGCACGACGTTGGAGAAAGCACAACAAGGAAGATGGCAACAACTATTGAACAGTTCTCGTTTGGGTCCGTTTTGGATGGATTAGACTTGGGGTTTTCGTTGAAATGTGAGCAGGAAGAACGTCTACGCTCATTTATTTTTAAGAAGGACATATTCGCCGTTTTACCAACAGGATATTCTTTTACTCTCCCCCACCAGCTTTCTGTTGCACTTCCTACGTCACAGTTAGTTGCGCTCATTGGTCATAGCGTTGGACAATAGGCACAACCATGGTTTGAAAAACAACGGGTTGTTCTCATCAACAATCTTTCGATGTCTCATTCATAGGGGCCAGACTAAATTACACATTTAATATCACATTTACTCTGGTTTATCAGGCTATGTCAAATTGGTTATGTGGTTCACATGGGTCGCAATTGCCAAATTGGGACACAGTACCTGCCTGCTCCTTCCTCTGCTGCTGCTCTGAATCCAACATCATATGACTGCTTCTGAGTCACGTGACTACCGCCTGACTGAACACAAAAACATTTCAACCACACCTTTTGTTCTTAAAAACTTTATTAACCATTACATTCAAACAACAAGTGTAGAACTAATCCAAGAACTAATTCCTGAGACTCCCAAATGAAATGTACCCAAATAAGGACATTAGATCACCTTAAGCCAAGATCTACAGCCTTCTACAAGTGACCTAATGAAGTAAATGTGGTTCAGGTGTGTTGAGGCAAAGGCATTTATGCATTTGTGCAGCATAGACACATTTTGCACAGAAAGTTTGACAAGAAAACAAACTGAAATGGTGTATGAATGCATGTATGCATACTCCATCCCCTCCACATATATATATGTCTGTATATATATATATATATATATATATATATATATATATATATAATTTAAAGAAATCAAAACAGTATAGTTTTAGAATTAAATCAAGCTTTCTTTTAACAAAAAAATGTAATTCCAAAAAAGCTATTGAATGAACTCATTGGGTTGAAGTTGGGATTACACAGGATATCATTCAAACGTAATTTTTAAGCCCAGTTCTTAAATCTTATTTCTTTGAAAGAATTTTCTGGGCAACAGCTAAACACTTTTCCAAACAATATTATTGAATAACGTATGCCAGAAAAATACACATATGCAAGCATATAACTGAAAATATAAATTCTCAAACACCAGATTGTTTTTATACTTAGAAAAGGGTCAGAAATTCCAATCAATATTTTTTTCTCAGTTAAGTAGGCCTAATAATAATAATCAGGTTTTATGCTGAAGTTGATATCAATATTTTAGTGGACAATTATATGCAATGAGAAATTCACTGTAACAGTAAACATTATTTATTTATCTAGAAAACATAATCGATACCTCAATCAAACTGATTTTAAAGAAAAATAGATTACAACCAACCTAAATCTATAAATACATCAGTTTCACAGACAATCTGGGTTTATGAGATATATTTTATTCCACTGAATTCGAAAGGCGAGTTTACTGTCTAAAGACTAGATTTAACCAATCAGAGCACAGCTTCCTCATTTCCTTTTTCTCTGAACCAGAATTCTTCCAATAAAATGTGAGTCATTTGTCCACTTTTGTAATATGTTTCGTAAACCTCACTGAAAGTACTAGCATAAACCCAGCTGTTATGATATTAGGCTTTAGAAAGTAGTATTCGACCAGAGATGGACACATTTCTTAGTTCGCTTTTTTATCAGTCGCAAGTTGTATTGAGTCCAGTATAGTGCAGGTAAATCGCCAAATCCAGGGGTGGAGCTAGATGGGGGGCCAGGGGTGGCCATGTCCACCCTTAGCCAATCATTGGCCACCCCTGTGGCCACCCCTACCATTTTTTCCCCCTCTAATACAGATGGTGGCAGCAGTAATACTCTCAAGTGGAATATTTATTCTAATTTTTCATTCATTACTTACAATTTTTTTCATGTATTCATAATTTCTTGACAACAAAAACACTGCGGTTAATTATACACATTGATATACTAACATTAAAGATGACAAGTACAGAATTCATGCTCTTTCCATAACTAGATTTTATGTGATATGGAGTAAAGAGAAAATTATTTGTCTCTGCAAGTCGTCTATGAGTCTTGAGTGAAATCATAGATTAATAACTATTTTAATAAAAATGTATTAAATAATCTATGTATGTAGATATTAGTACTTGAAAATATCAATTTGATGCAGAGTGATTATGGATAAAAGTAGGTAATGACAATGGAAAAGATGTTTGCCCCAGAACTCAAACCTGAAAGTATTTTATCCACTATACCTTTTATCTACAAAGCACGGATTTTTAAATATATGCGTCTATTTGTTAGCAAAGGCTGTGGGAAAGTATAGTTATTCTCATCTTAGGCTTGACCCTGAGGTTCTATCCACTTTTGGCCACCCCTCAGTGTACATTGATTATTGCCTGGCTACACCTCTAGCGAAATCTAGTCATAATTCTATAGTCCCACTTCCAATGTATGATTGTAGTAGTTAGGATAAACCCAAAACGTGCTGTGTGAAACTTTCACATGGAGACAATGGCAAGTTTTGGGCGAGGACAAAGGTAAAGAGAAACACCCTGGGTTCAGTTCACAGCTACACGTGCTTGCTGCGCGCGCTCCCTCGTGGGGGCGCGCACGTTATTTTTTTTTTTTTGGAAGAAGAGCCTTGCGACAAGGTTTTCGTCGGAAACCAAATAATTCAGGAAACATTTAAAGTATCTGTGTGATGTAGCTAAAGTTATAAAGCACTATTTTCATGCGTGTATCATACAAGTTGTCAGAGTTCATTCAGAGGATACCCGAACAGGCTTTTATTTTGAAGGGAAAAAAATCTCCCGGTTTTAAAGCAAAAGGCAGGAACTCCGCCTCTGCTTGTTTTACAGTTCATGTGCAACAGGATGGATGCTGAAGAAAATCCAGACGAAGCGACTCTCGACCCAAGACAGAAGCCCAGGATGTCCAGGAGCCTAAACACAATATCCCAGAGGTTTATCAGGCTGCTGCAAGAGGCCGAGCACGGGGAGCTGGACCTTAGATACGTACGTTGAACCTTGAACGCAGCATGCCCCAAGTCTGTGCTAAAACTTCTCTTTAACCTACTTTATTATTTTATGTTTGTCATATTTAGTTAGCGACTTCTAATCTAAAATAAATGGGTTGAAACTACACGTCCCAAACAGAAACAGCAGCCCACAATTCGGAAGAAAACTCCCACAATTCTGACTGTATAATGGAGATTCTCTCCTGTTGCTGGTCCATCTTGTTCCAGCAGCTTGCTGTCTCTCTCTTGTTCTGCACTCAGCTGCCCAGCCTGCTTGCATACAGCAGCACACTGTGAAGAGCCAGTTTCTCTAGCAATGACCTTTAGTGTTTCTTTGACCCTCTGCTGCTCTGTCAGGCCAACAGTCTTTACTATGAATATGTACGATGTATCATCACATTTATTAGGATAAATATAGTTTACTTGACTCATACCATTAGAATTTTGTATTTTATTAGCTTTAAGCCACAATTATCAATAGATGCCAGAATACATGCTTGAAATAACTAACCTAACTTTTTGAAATAACCTAACTTTTTTTTAACATTTCAATTCAAATTACTGAATTGAGTTTACAGTGGTAGTCTATGTACTTTGTTGAGATTAAACGCAATTTCTTCAGATTTTTATATATATATATATATATATGTTACACATACCTACCTACATACATACATACATATATATAATATACACACAAACATGCAGGGAAAAGATTGTTGGGGCCTCTTCTTCAATAAAAGAAAAACTTGCATTGGTTCCAAAATGAAAGTGTAGAAAAAAGAAGTTAATAATAAATGAAAATTCAATAAATTCAAATAACTGAAAGTCAGATGGTACTTTTCAACCATGCTTCAACAGAATGATAAAAAAAAACAAAAAAAAAACCCTGAAACAGGCGTGGACAGAAATGACGGTGATCCTTAACTTAATATTTTGTTGCATAACCTTTTCAGGCAATCGCTGCCATCTAACGATTCCAGTAACTGTCAGTGAGACTTCTGCTCCTCTCAGCAAACTGCTTCACTTCATATTTGAAGGATACATTTTCCCCCGGCGCCTGCCTTGGTGCTCTGTAGAGGCGCTTCTTTGGCTCTTCACAACCACTATTGAGCATTTTTCCTTTGGATAAACTTTACATGCACGTGTGCACTCTCACAAACAACTACAGGTGTTTGCTCCAGGTACTTAAAGACTCACTTCCATACAGAAAGCCCATATTCTTATCTTCAGCTACCACAGTATACATGCCAGAATAAATAATACTACATATACTTCAGGGATGGTATCAAGTTACTACTTTATTGTATTTATTATACTATGTCGGTTGGTTGTGCTGTTCTTTTTACATCTCTTTGCAGTTGATGAAGCAGACTGAAGATGTTTTATCTCTATCTCCCTTTCATCTCTTCTTTCTTACATCTTTTCTCCTTTTTTCTGTTTTTCCTTTCCTGTTCTACTTACATAGCAGTGTCTATATAATCTGTAATACTCCCTGCGTAATCATAATAAAGCTATATGTATGCATAAATCAAGCGGAACTCTATGGCTGGGGGGGAAACATTTTCCAGACGCTCCACACAAAGATGCTCAATAGGATTTAGGTCAGGACTCATAGAGGAACACTTCAGAATAGTCCAATGTTTTCCTCTTGGCCATTATTGGCTGTTCTTAGCTCTGTTTTTTGAGTTCATAATTTGTTGAAGACACATGACCTGTGACTGAGATCGAGCTTTTTCACACTAAGCAGCACATTTCTCTTGATGGCCTTAAGATTCATTGAATCCTGCAGAGATTCAGACACCCTGTGACAGATAGAGCAAAGCAGTCCCAGAACATAACAGAGCCTCCTCCATGTTTCACAGTTGGGACAGTGGTCTTTTCTTGCACAGTAATTACCCGTATTCTTATATATAGGCCCACTAAATAATTACAAGAATGTAGACACCTGTGATTCTAATTAGTGGACACACATTGATTTAACATTTCACATCATTTTCAGTTATTTCTATGGGTACCATTATTTTTGTCCAGGCCTGTTTCATGAGTTCATTTTTGAATTAATCATTTTGTTGAAGCATCGTTAAAAAGCAACGTCTGAATTTTATTTAGTAATTGTCATAGAATTATTATCTTTCGCTTTTGTCAGATTTAAGTTATTTCATCTGAACATTATTGGATTTTCTTTTATTAAATCAGGGGTTCCAACAATTGAATATATATGTTTAATGAAACATAATTGAGAAGCTCTTTTATATCAGTAACTCAATTTACCATCTATAAAGCATTAAATATATTAATTTCAAACAAACTGATGTTTTCAAGGCTTTTTTGTTTTAATTATAATGATGTTTGGCTTGTAGCCATTGAAAACAGGATATTTATTATAAGAATTTTTTGACTTATTTAGATAATTACAAAGGGTTTAGAACTCGGGGAACTTGCCTGCATTAAAATGTGCAGGAACTGCTGTCAAGTTAACAATATTAACTAAATTATAATTTATGTATAATTATATAAAAATTATATTTTTTTTATGTAGTGGAACTGAACAATTATTTTTGTGGATAGTTTGTTGATAACTTTCTGCTGGTGACTTTTCACAGGCATTCAGGGCTCTGGGTGAGAAGAAGATCAGAAGAATCTACGACATCACAAATGTGCTGGAGGGCATCGGTCTTATTGTTAAAATATCCAAGTGCCACGTTAAATGGGTGTACGTTTTTCAACTCATTTTTTATTCTTATTTTTTCACGACTGTGTTTTTAGGGTAACCAGGCAAAACTTAAACCTTACAGATGTGCTTTTTGTTTTACAAGTGGGACACATGATGATAACAGACTCGTACGGCTGAAGTCTGATCTCCAGGACCTGAGGTATGTGGAAAGCATACTGGACCAGCAGTTGATCTTGGCTGAGGAGAGCATCAAGAGCCAAACGGATGCCTGGAAAAAATATCCTTTTGATTGATACATAAACTTGTTAGTGTTTGGCAGTATATGCAGCCGCTGTTAAAAAATAAGCATAAAATAGCTGTTTTGTTCTTTATTGTTATTGATCAGATTGTTTCATTTTAGCATTGATGCTGGACTTTATCTCTCTACTTAATATTTCTTAACTCAAATCAACCCTGACTTATGTGACCCATAACGATATCTGCAGTTGCTTCACTGGTGAGGCCTTTTCTTCCAGGCTCTTTTGTAGAAAGACTTGACAGGGAAATTTTCTCACAGTAAACAACAGTAACAGGAAATTAGCACAGGAAAGCATAATATGTTTTAAAAAGTCAACTTGTATGATATATAATATGTATACTATAATCTGGAGTTATATCAGAACTAAAATAAACATGATTTGGACAAAAAAGGTGTTTACAGCGATATTAAACTATTTAGAAAAGTATTTAAAAAAAACTCAGCAGGAGAACGATGAGTTCTGAATAGGTGAATTGTGTTGGTAAGAGTTGGAGGATGTTTTGCTGATTCATTTGCAGATACAACCCAACTGGATGAATGTAACAGCTGAATGGGTTAAAATAATGAGCCTTTTTCTTGCTTGATATTGCATAAAAATCACTGTAATAATCAGATTTTCTTTCAGGTCACATTCTCTTGGCAGTAAAAGCCCCAGCAGGCACTCAGCTGGACGTCCCCATTCCCAAAGCTGTAAGTTCTGCTTCATTAGGAATCCTAATTGCCTCCTCCGTCCTTAAACCCTTTCATGAAGATGAGATGATTCAGTGTGCATATATCTTTCTACAGGTGCCGAACTGCCCAGCAAAGTATCAGATCAATCTGAAAAGCATCAGAGGACCTATAGACGTCATCCTTCTTAACAAGAGAACTGTCAGCTCTGACCCTGTTGTATTTCCAGTTCCACCGCCTGAAGGAATGTTGCAGTGTGCAAAGTCGGCTATGTCTGTGTCAGAAAATAAAGAAAACAATGATGGACTCTGTGAGGCATCAGCTTTTACCTCAAAAAGCACTCAGTCTGAATGGAGGACGGAAAAGGACGTGCAGCCACTTCAAGAATCGTCTTTTATGAGCGCTAACCCCAATAAAAAGGACGAGTTTGTGTGTGAGTATTTATAGGGTCTTGTTAGAGCATTCACATTGAGGCTTTTCAAATTTGGTCACAGTACAAACAAACTGTATTTTACAGTGATGTATTAGGCTTGACATTTTAACTGATTCTTATTTAAGAAATGTCTTAATTTCAGTTTAAATTGTGTCAGTGCATAGATGATTTAGATCTGGACTTTGACTGGGCCATTTTAGCAAGGGGAGTGGCGACCTAGTGGTTAGGGCATAGAGCTTAGAATCCCGAGGTTCTGAGTTCAAGCCCCACTCCCAAAGACTGCCATTCTGGCTCTCTGAGCGAGACTCCCTGGGCGCCCCACGATGGCAGCCTACTGCTCCCCAAGGAGATGGGTTAATTGCAGAGGTAAATTCTCCAATGTGAGATCATTAAAGTTAAATTATTATTATTATGTGACATGTCCTCATCCTCTTGAAGGTGAACTTTGTTCCCAGCCTTTAGTAGGGCTGGGGGAAAATTGGAATTGCTTTTTTATTTCAATTATTCCTAGACTAAACACAAGCAAACAAACACACTCTTGTTTTAAACGTAGCATAAACAGAAATTGAGCACTTGTGAACAATGTTTTATTTTTGATCATTTTTTCTTATACATTGTCAGTTCATGTCATCTCAAGGCATTTTTACAAAGACAAGTCAATCAGAGCATGCAGTCAAATTGTTAACAATATATTGAATAAAAACCAGCTGATTGCAATTGACCTGCACGTCACACTCCTCCTGGATGAGCATGTGGAGGCTGTAGATAATGACCTGTATTTTGATGTTCACTCTTCAGCAGTCCCTCGTGTTTTTTAACCCAACCCTGCTTTAAACTTCTCAGCAGCTTTATCAGTAAACTGTCTGCCTTGTTTTGCTAATGCACTCTAACAACCTCTAAAGCGTTTATGAACCAGCTGAATTTAAACCCAGATTAAATTACAAACAGGTGAAATGTATTACCAATATCCTATGTTCACTAAGATGTAGTCAGCACTATCACAGTCAAGGGGACTGGATACATTGCATGTCAGTTAATGCAGATTATTTATTTATTTATTAAAGGTTTATAACTTTATATAATTTCCCTTTCCAATTTTGTACTACTTAACAAAAATGTTTTTTTGTTCTTAGGTAAAAACAATTCAAAAGAGCTGTATAATCACATGGATTCATCTAAAGGTATCTGCTTCTGAGGATTTATTCATTCCAAGTTTGGCTATGAATATGAATGAATCATTTAAAATACTGTTTTTCTTTTGTAGATGTAATTAATGTAGATCTAATCACCCAGTTTATGCCTTTAAAAGGTAATTTCACAGTCTTTCTTTATGTTTGTATTTCTTACATATTGATGTTTGCAATAATAATTTTTTCATCTTTCTCAGTGTTGTCTCCAATCGTCCAGCTGTCGACGTCTCCATCTAAGGCATAAAGGTCACCATATTCTGATGAGTGGTCAGAGTTTTTGGGCATCAACTCCTGTATTGTGGTGTTAAGATGATGTATTTTTTTGTTTGTTGTTTCTGCATTATTGTTCTTTTAACAAATAAAGCTTGAATTTCAGAAAGTGTCTTCATCTCCAATCTAAGCTTGCACTGAAGCATAAGCACCAAACTCATGGTAGTCTCAACAGAAAGGAAATGAAATCTCAATATTAGCTTTGGAAACAAACGAGCTTTATTGGATGTAGCAATGATTTAATTTCTCCATCAAACATATTAATAAAAGCCTCATTCCCATCTCATTTGTTATTTCATAAATGGTACAGTACAGCATTAATCTTTTATTTATAAACCCAATTAGGAGTGCTAACTGCTGTTAAGCCAATTAATCTGAAGTGAAGGTTAATTTTTCAGATCATGATGTTATGGTCTGGAGAGACACATAAATTTAGCCCAGGACGTATGAAATAAGTAAATGCTTGAATGATTTTATATGATTTTAACATAAAAAGACCCTTAAATTTTATATTAGCAAATTAGGATAAAACTTAGTTTAATAACTGACACAAATAAACATTTAAAATGCTATTTATCAATTCAGTTTCAACCATCTCGCATAAATAGGACAATATTTTTATTTCTAAGGCTACTCTGGCACGTTTAGCCCTGTATACTGTGTACAAATAGCCAATAAAAGGCATAAAGACGATAAGATGGGGCTGAGAAACTGGAGCAGTCACAAAAGAAACAGATTTAAAAGACCAATAAAGCACCTGTTGCCCGGAGGATGAGTCCACCAAAAACAAATTTATAACTTTTCCCCTGAGTGAGTAATTTTTAATCCCAAGTTTGACTAAACATTAAACCCAAATGGTTTAATGTTTAAGAAGCGGTATGTGATGACGTACGTACGCTACGTAGGTAAAATGTACGTAGAAGCTGGTTACGTTTTATGTTTCTGCGGTGTTACTATGGAAACGTTAGTTTACTTTGACCTGTAGCTGCAAGCTGTTGTTTATAAGAATACTCTAAAAAGCGCCTTTCTCTGTCTTAATTATCGACTCTTCGTGAAAGATGGTAAAGTATTTGTTGTTTTGAATGCATTGAAAGTCAGATTGGTTTATAAATTATTGGTAGCTCCGTTAATGCTAGGTGCTAATCTAATGAAGGAAAGTAACGACGTCTGCTCCCCAGTAAAAACTGAACCTTTTAGACACATTTTGTCTTTCAGCCGCCCAAAAAGAAAGAGACAAACAACCCGGAAACTGCAAGGAACCAAACTCTGATAAACGGTCTCACCAAGGAGGAGTTGTCCAAGGAACAGGTTAGACTATTGTTTCAAAGTACAGGTTTGAAGGTTATTAACCTTTAAAACTATACCGTTACATCATCGGCGCTATATGATAAAGGTCATGCTTAAAAGAAAGTATAGCCTATTTGAAATCTGTGGTTTTACAGATAGTCACTTCATAATCTTTTTAAACAGTAATCTCTTTATGTTGTGCAACAGTCAAAACTATTGATCACCTTTCTTCCTGTGGAGTGAGAAGTATCCCCATCACACAATATACAAAGAGCAGAGATTAATTATTTTTGTCTTTCTTTCAGAAATTTGTTAATTTTCCACTCCTTCAAATTCCCGAAGCCTGAAATTAATTAATGTTCTATCAAAACATTTAAACACCTGAGCTGTAGATTTATGCATTTTCTTCTGAATTACTATTATTATTCCTGTGACCTTCGTTTGCAGCAACACATCTCATCATTTTTTTTGCAGGTCAACAGTTATGCCATATTTTTTCCTTATCAGATGATTTCCTAAATAGTCCTATGTGAGATGTTAAAGGGTTGCAATGTTATTTTGTAACATAACCCTGCTTTAAACTTCTCCACAACTTTATTTCTAGGATTTATTCCTGATATTCATAATTATAATAGAATAGAAAAGAATAGAATAGAATAGAAAATTCCTTTATTGTCCGACAATGGGGAAATTGTGGTGTTACAGCAGCAAAAAGGTTATAGTAGAAGGGGTCACGCAATGTGGACCTTAGGAAGTGTATAAATATAACAAAATAAGTATCAGAATTCAGAAAAAGTTTGACTAATTTTATTCAAATGTCAAGGACTCATGCTCACTGACCGATATTGGATTGGACATCCCTCCTCTGAGCTAGGGCTGTGCAAAAAGTCCTTTTTTTCCTCCATAGAATTTCAGGATAAAAAATTACAAATGATGTATTCCTTTCAAAAACTAGCTTTGACCTCAATCGTTCCTATTAAAAGTTTTCTTCTCCACTGTTACATGCATGCTTGATGTGAGTGATTGCTTAAGACTCAATGACAAAATGAAAGGGAAAA